ATATATATATAGGTACATAGATAGTTATCCATCCATTCGGTTTGTTTATATTACCTATATACATATAGTCTAGAATGTGATTGTATTTATTTCTTCATCATTAACTTATTCACTGAAGGTGAAAGTTACCTAATTTTTCTACTCTATCTTTCTGCAGCGTTAAATAAACAAATCTTAGTTTTAAACAATTTTTTGTAAACATTTGCAAAAATCTATATTTTTCACTCCAAGCTTCAATTTTAAATCTCTTTTTAAAGGTTGGGACACAGAGAAACTAAGTATGTATTTTATTTTTAAACACTCGAACATGCAGGTTAAGCTTACTAACAAATAATAATAAAATTAAAATTGTAGGTAGGTGTTAAATTATAATTAAAAGCTTACTTTATTAATATAACTGTTTTTGTGAAACAAAAAAATACCAAAACCAGTAAGTATTTGTGATCAAAAGAAAAAAGGGAATTACCTACTAAGTATAGCGTAAAACTCTCAAAAATTAATAAAATTTTGCTTATCCCCCCATTTTCGAGGATGTTGAACACAAATCTGGAATGAGTTTTAAGGTACAGTAAATAATTACCTAAAAGAATGTATGCCTATAAATACACAAATTATTTATTTGTTTTGTTTTTTTTTTCTACATATTTGCCTATTATTTTGAAGTTAAAAATGTTTATGCAATATTTTGACGTAAGAGCATAGGTACTAATTTTGATGGAAATTTATTTTAACAATAGAATCAGTAGAATGGATAAAATTTGCACATAAAAAGACAAGTGTTAAAAGGTGGATACCTTTATTGACCTTTGTAATACATAATTAAAGCACTTACGTTTATGGTAATTATTATGGTTGGTTAAATATTAATTTTGCTAGAATTAATATTAATCATGTTATTTTTTATTCATATTTGGAGCATTGTTTAGAAGTTTTGTTTTATCCATTATTGAATAATATGACACAACGGTTAACAAACGTAACACAACGTCTCTTCGATAAACAAGAAACACAATGTTTATCACACAATGTGCTGTTTCTAACTAAAAATAAATGCGTATTTTTAAACATTGAATTATTTTTTCGTTCTTCGTTGTTGATGAAAATATAAATAAAAATCGTACAATAAAATTTTATTTTAATTTTTATATTATGTAGGTATCTGATGTATATTTAAATCTATTCCTATGCTTATAAGTATTTAACTTTTATATTAGTTAATTAAATTCTTTTGTTAGACGAATTATTTTATAAAGTACGATCCATTGATTTTTTATTTTTACAGTGAAATACAGATTGATTATCCATTATCTTTATAATTCAAAGGAGTTACTAAACCGAAAAAAAAAATGGAACCGGAGCTACTGTCGTCACCTCTGCCCACTAAAGTACATGTATAAATATAATTTCATAATAATTCGATACAAACTACAGCAACCACAAAACGAGAACAACAGTAAACTGCAGTATTTCAAATTGCCTTCAAAATGTAATAATGTTCCAAAAACGAAAAAAAGACTCCTATAACACAGCATAAAGAATGTTCCAGGGAATATTTTTGTTTCGATTAAAATACTTTTTGAGAATAACGAAAAATGGTTAACTTAAACTGCTAACTAAATGGATAAGGTTAACTAAATATGGAATATTACATTATATTAAAATCTACATTTAATTACAAGATAAATAGTAACGTTCTAGTTAGTATTTCGGATAAACGATCTTTTAATTTCAATTTAATTGCATATTTTTATCTATCCCTGTTCAGTTAAAAATTCCATTAAATTATAACTAAAAATTTACAACATACAGTCAGTGACACTTTAGCAACAATTTTACATGTTGTTTTGAGTTTAGTCAGGTATATTTCCAATAATTATTTTCATGTAGGGATTTGCCGCTGTTTTAATAGTGATATCCTCAAACTTTGTTAACCGGTTGGCTTTGGGGTACGCACTTTTTATTCATTAATTTTGAAATAATTTACGTAACAAAAATGTCTATAGAGAAACTGATTGATAAATTTTTATTTTATTTATAGAAAATAGTATCCAGTACAAATAAATAATTAACTATTACTTATAGAGTTATGATATGATAAATCTTCAACCAAATTGTTTAATCCATTATAAATTAATATTTGCACTTGTGAGACGGTACGGTACCTATCCTACTTATGCAATTGAATCTGCTTAGATTCTGTCTCACGTTTTATATAATTAAATAATAAATTAATATTTCGCATACATAATGGAATGTCATCCCATTACCGTTGCTGTGAAGGTCAGTGTATAAAAAATAATGTTTTAAATGAAATGATTTGAATGAGTATTTGAAGTAGTAATAATTAACAGATCAACTTTAGATAGAGAATACGATGACGAGCAGTACGCAAAATTGTTTTTCCAGCGCCTTCTAGTTGAAATGGCTTAGAAAGCGAGCACCATAAAAACTAAAGTCAAAGGCTAAAAGTTTTCTCATTTTTTCTCAAAAATTTCGTTATGTAAAGGCATACAAATGTTATATGGTTGGAAAAAAAATAAAAAACTGGCCTGAAGTATGGACCTATTAAATAATTATTATTACCCACTATTCCTGCCCATACATTAATGACGGGTAATAATTTAATAACGTCTATACGTATTTGAGAATCGTCTCATGGGCATCGATATTTGGAGTTGAATACTTACTTACTTATTCTTGTTTTTTTTCTTTTATATTTTGTGTTGTCAAATTTTAAGTAAGATTTTCTAGGCTCTTATTTTAAAAATATGTACGGTTCTAACGTAGTAATAATGTACAATTAAAAATTAAAAACAGAAAATGGTGGGGGGCGCCGCTCGATGTGCACTGTGACATAAAATCACAAATATTTCATAAAACTGTTAATTTTACCGAGTTAAACCAAGAGGGTATTATCGTTGATAAATTCTTCATGGAACTTATTTTTGATACAGCCAGATTGCGATCGTCATCTATGCAAACATTCTGGGTTGCTAGTCCGTCTCTGGCGGTCTGGGCATAATGAAGTTTCACTTAGTACAACATCAAAAACAAACTGCATGTGTTATCGATCACCAAATTTGCATCATGCTGAAGTTAATATAGTTTAGAGACTGTAAATAAAACTTTTTTAACTTTTAGGTCTAACATTTATGAAACATTGCATTTTCGAATGTAACTATATTTTTAAAAAAGTGGTGCAGATATTTAATTTTGCATAGATTGAACTTTGAAATACTTACTAAATAGGCATAAAATTTTATATTATATGTTTAAACGCATAAATACATATTATTCACATTGAAGTCAGTATGGTAAATTATAAATGTTACCTGTTTGAGAGTTTTTGAAAAAATTATTACGAAAGAGATTTGGACAAATTTTATTCATTGCTGCAGAAGAAATAATATGCTTAATTTATTTTAATGTTGCAGAAATTGTCTTCGTCGCATAGCCCGCAACGATGACACAGAATTTTCCCATCAAAGTATTTTAAATGTGATGGAAAAATTCGTTAAGACTGTCAATCAGATGGATGAAACAATCTTGGTGCCTTGTCGTTTGATGGACCAAAAGGTTGGGGATGAACACGATCCAGCTTGTATCCGATATTCAAAAATAAAACCTCCACAGTCAGTCCATGAACTGTTCAGTTCCACTGATCTATTTGAAATTTATAATATGTTAAATGGAGTTAAGGATGGACTTTTGTGGGGCCAAACACAGGACCAACAAGGAACAGTTTCAACTGTTCCAAAAATGATCCTTACAACTTCGTTAACCAAAGGTCACTTTCGGAGGCCGTCAACAGTCAGTGTTACTTCTACCAATTCTTCAAGTTCAACTATGAGTGATACTGATTCCGAATCTGGTAGTAATGAAAACGACTCTGGCATTGAAGAACCTTCTGTACAAGAAGAAGGCAAGGTGGATCGTGTCGCTCATAACTTCAGAACACATCTTCATGGGCTGACCAGCTCACTTCGACAAATGACTGAAGCTGCACAGTACCTGACTTGGCGTTACCAATATGACATTGGTGGCCCAGTTTAGATAATATAGATAATCTAGGTCAATGGATAACAAAATCGGATGTGCCTGTGCGAAAGAGAGTGTGTTATGGGTTTTTGCAAAGAGATGCATGGCCTATTTATATATAAATTAGATTACCTATTTTTGCTCATCAAATTATCATTATATTTATTTTAGTTGTAGTGTCATTATTTACCTCTATTTGTTAATTTATAAATAAAGTATTAAACATTTAATATTTTTATTAAGAAAATCTGCCACGAGCTTAGGGAAAATGAAAAAAAATCTAGCCGACTATTTCTATATTTCTATAGTTTTCAATCTTTGAAAATTACCGTGTTGGCCACAAAATTTTGAGGACCTTGTGCATAGCTAGGTCAAATGTGACACATTTTCGGTGAATACATAATAAATACTACTAATAATGGAAGTATGTCCAATTATACAAATGGTAAGAGATATTTAATATTAATCGCGATGTTTCATCTAGCATTTTTTTTTAATAATCTAAATATCTTGAAAACGAAAACCATAAATTTTCAAGGCATGGACGTGGTGACAAAAATTACTCAAAATAACACATAGAATCGACGAATGATATAAAAAAATGGGGTATTCCATTTAAAGCAATGGAGATGACGTCACTTCCGGTGAAACCGGATGTATCCCACTCTTGAAAGTATTTCAAGACTAAATTGAACACAGATAGCTGTCAAAATTTAATGAACGGGTTACGTGAAAAACCCTAAAAATTAAAATTAAAATTTAAAAAAAATTTTCTTACTTTTCATTAACAAAATATTATGCAATCTGTCTAAGCAAACATATGACATATTCTTATGTATATATTTCTGTAATCAGAAAAAGTAGAGGAATTTAATTTTGTTTATATCTTTAAAACGCAACATTCAATTGTTTTTTTATATAACTCCTTGATATCATATGCGTTCATAATTGTTTTTTATGTATTTATGAAGCGGCTGCCCAGTTTATTTTGCACCCGGCCCTGTTATTGCTATACTGAAATTAATGAATTTAAAATAAATATCTTGCTTAAATTACACACATATTGATGTAACTAATATTATCTTATTTAAATAATTTCCCAAACCCTAGATAAAAACTCAAACCGCATTAACTGAAGCTTTTTTGTCGTATCTGCCAGTAGCTGGTATTTTACTAATTTCCATGTCACGTGATATGAATTTATTCCGTTACCCCGTCATTTCATCTCAAGAAAACTGTATTTCCAAATATCTATGTAATGGATCCTTTAACTATTGAACATAAGATGGCGCAGTATCGAAAGTGTAAAATAGAACGTGAACGATTAAATATCAAGTTTACATACATATGGCTCCTCCTTGTAACGAATTCGAGAACTAAAATTTGATCAACTATTCAGCCATAAATTAGCCAATTAGCCATATTTAACCCAATTAAACGTATGGTGCCATCTGTTGATTTAGTACAAATACAAGTTGGAGTGCTTAAATAAAGCTTTATTGGCAGTGGAATAGTTTGTGCATACTTGATAAGATGGCAGAAGTGATATTAACTACGTACAGTGGCCTTATTAAGCCACTGTAGTGTAGTGGTAACGTGTTGACAACATTGCAAAGTTAAAATATGGTGTCCTGACTGTCATGTTGAAAAAGATAATGAATTTGTAGATAAGATAAAAATTTGTGTCCGTGTATGTGAAATAAAAACGGTTAGGAATAAAAACAATATGTCAGGCTTCGACGATAATCCTTTTGGGGAACCAACAATAGACAACCCTTTCGCTGTAAGTAATTTCAAAGAAAATTAGAGCAGTGCCAATCTATAATGATCCCTAGGTATCACAAATACTTTTAATTGCGAAGTGAAGACGAATTTTCATGTGACGTATTAAGAATGTACTCATTGTTTTATTTCCTTATAGGATCCTTCTGTACAGCAAGTTACTAGAAATACCAATGCCCAAATTCGAGTGGATGACTATAACCCCTTTGATAACCAACCACAGAGTCAAAAACCGGTAAGTTTAATCATTTATTTAAATTTTACAAGAGTATGTATCTCATCTCAACCATTGTTACGTCGATGATTTCCTGTAAATGTTTAAAAATATTTGAACTGATTTAAAAGTCGTGCTACGTTTGTTGCAATAAATTTACAGCATATTTTTAGTTGTTTAATAAAAGTTCTATAGAGGTATGTTGCAAATTACAATAAAAATATTTATAGAATCATAATCTCCAGATATCGTTAAGTACTTTTTCATTTCAATTGTCATTTATTTATTAAGAGAGATTAATATATTTGTAGCTCGATTTGTAGTTTATATAAAGAGAAGTTGTACTTAACCCATAGAATGTGTCTTTTTTTCCCAAATAAAACACTTTAAGACCAATTCCAATTACTTGGTGTACTTACATTGTTGGCTATATTAGAAAATAAAAGTTACTTTTCCCGCAGGAAAATACCACAACGCACATCCTGCTCCATTCACTTTGTTGTTTAGTTTTCCTCAAATATTGTTTTTTCCCCATTTTATCATGTTTTATTCATACTTAACGATATGGATATGTTATAATCTTCATTATGCTTATCATGTAGTGACGGACTGGTCACATAGTCGAGGTGGCGTTTGCCAGCCGGGCCCTAGCCTGCGCGGGCCCCCTACCCTAGCTACTCCCATGCTTACGACCACATATAAAGTAGTTCATTCATACTGCAGAATGCCACCCGGGCCCTTCAGTTCACAATAGTTTTCGAATACAAATAAGTTGAATTTTCGTAGTTTTAAAATGTTTATTTTTTCCTAGATATATAATTTTTTTATTTATAACCGCAATCGTTGACAAATTTTTTTGCGCAACAAATAATTAATAATTTCTATTTGTCGGAAGCGTACAAATAATTAAATTTTTCTATAAACATAGATTGTAAGAACGAGTCGTAGATGTACACAGTCAAAATATATTTTTTTAATAAATAATGATTATTTTGAATAGTTTTAGTTGGTTTTTTCACTGCAGGGCACTGCAAGGTCATCTGCTGTAATTGACAGAGAGAAAATTCTTAGTTCATAAATATTCCATTTTGTCTTTTTAATAAAAAAGGATGCCCAAAGTATGAACATCTACCTTGGAAATATTATTGTCATTGAATTGTTGAATAACATGGTAGTTGAAACAGTAACTGATAGAGGTACCGGTATTAGAGTTTGTATGTGCTATCACTATTACATATAGATATGTATAAATATGTCGTCGCATCATCTATGTGATTGATTTAATTTGAATTTAATTGTCATAAAGTATTTTGTATTCAAAATTTTGATTTTATAATTTGATGTTAGGGTAATCATAATTTTTGGCACACCCTTATTCTCGAATCCTCGTTTTTCTGTGAATTTCAAGATAACTTTTGCCATTAGATCTTCATATGTTTTTAAATTTTTACTTTATCTAATTTGTATTCCTTTTACACATTTAATAAACAATGTAAGCTCATGCTTCTCTAATTAAGGCCACTCTTATTGGTTTCAAATAAAAAGCTGTAGTTTCCAGAATAATTTATTCTTTAAATGTTCTTCATTTAACAGATGACTTATGATCAACCCAACAGCGGACCAGCTATAATGCAGCCAACACAGGAGCCTCCAGCTTACACAAAGAGTGGACAGCAAAGTCAAGCTGCACCAAAGCCTACCCTAAACACTGAAGAATTACAGGTAAACCTTTGTTGAAAATAGTACTTGATTGATCGATAATAAAACGTGAATGGTATTTTTTTATGAAAATATAAATTTCATCTGTATGTAGAAAAGGCAAGAAGAACTAGAGAGAAAGGAACAGGAATTGGCTCGTAGGGAGGAAGAAATGAGACAATCTAGTTATAATGTTAGACGAAATAACTGGCCACCTCTACCAGAACAGTGTTGCTTTCAGCCATGCTTTTACCAAGACATTCAAGTGGATATACCATTAGAGTTCCAAAAAATCGTTCGACATTTATATTACCTCTGGATATGTAAGCAAATTTTGTTTACCATTTTTTTTTATAAATTGTAGAAATAAACATTTTAATAGCACGAATTTATAAAATAAAATTCGGCTTTCTTTGCCATTTTGTTTTTTTTTTCTTATTACCTATTTAATACACTTCGTCTGTCTATTCTAGATCATGGAATAATTATGTTGATAAATATACTTGGAGGGATAATATTGCAGGATGCTAAAATAATTGGTCTAGGGATATTGTACACCTTATTATTTACTCCATTTGGTTACCTGTGTTGGTTCAGGCCTGCATACAAGGCATTCCGATCAGACTCTTCATTTAATTTCATGGTCTTCTTTTTCATCTTTTTCTTTCAGTTCGTAATTACAACCATTCAGACTGTCGGAATACCAGGATCAGGAACAGTGTAAGTAAAACAAAAAAGTTACAGCAACATACTGTATTTTGTAATTTATTATTTTAGTGGGATTATCACAGCCTTAAAAACATTTGATAATACTGCAGCAGGTATCATTACTGGAATTTTGGCTCTTATTATCGCAATTGGATTCGGATGCGCAGCAGCAGCAGACTTGTTTCTTATTTCTAAGGTAACTTTTAATAGATAGTCTTTTAGTAAATGTAAATGATATTTGAATATAAAGTAGAATTTGAATTACTTAAGAACTTAATCTGAATATTTACAGGGCAAACTGTTTAGTGTTTGGTATTTCATTTCAATCACTGGACGACTAATTTTCACCAGCAGGCGACAATTGTGTCGTCTACTTCACTAGTTAAAAAATGCTCTGAAAAAAGTAATGTGCCAAAGAGCACGTTTTAATAACATTTCCTTTAAATTGTGCAATTTAACTACAAAGCACAATGCAGTTCACAAGTGTGCATGTGTTGCGACTAACGCATCCCGTTATTTGAGGTAGCTTGTACAGCGGCGGGGCTATGAGAATGGCTAAAAATAAAAAATTTTTAAATGTTTAATGGATACGAGAAAATTGCAAAAACAAACTTATATAATACATGTTTCTAAAGGTCAAAAGTAGCCTCCGTATAAATATGACCCCATTCAAAGTTACACTCTGTATGTGTATATACAGGGTGTGCCATTTAACACTCCCGCTTGCCAATATCAAATGTCAAATTGTAGTTAGAACGGTTAGTTCAAATCTTTCTGTATAGGTGGCGTGCCGATACTAAAAAAAATTTGTTGATCCCTGGGACGTGGAAAGTCTGAAAGTTCGTTAAATTTTGAGTAATTTTTGCAATATAAAGTTTTTAAATTTCTTACTGTCGGAGATATTGGCAGCGGGAGTATTAAATGGCACACCCTGTGTATATATATATATTTTTTTTTAGATTCATCGTATGTACCGTAGTACAGGTGCTAGTTTGGCTAAAGCTCAACAAGAATTTACGACAGAGTTTCTCCGTAATCAGCATGTCAGAAGTGCTGCAAGTAATGTTGCAGCTGCAGCAGTTCAGTCCCAGTTTAACCAGAATCAGAACAACACCAGATATTAATTTTTGTATATTATTTATTCATTAATTTGCATTCTAACATATTTTTCAGTATTTGAAATTAAAGAGGTTTTTTTTTTCATAAATTGTTATAAATTTAATGTCTTCAAATTGAATTTAAAGCAAAATAAAGGTACACATAACTTCAGATTATAAATATATTTATGTAAACCGGTCACATCGATGCTAAACATATTTAGGTTGTACATAACTTTTTTAGACTTACTAAGTTTGAGCTATTTTATAACGCTGTTAATTTATCGTAAGGTTTAATATTTTTTTCATTCGATCCGTTTAATAGTAAGGAGAAAGTTAAAAGTTATATGCCAATTGTAGAAAAATATTTAGGATTTAAGACACTCGTTCCATTAATTAATTGTGAACATTTTGTATGTCACTGTTAGGCAATAACTTTTTTTTTAACAATATTCTAATTGTTGAACGGTGAGATTCCTGAGAAACATAGGAAATAGTGCAGTAGCCTTTTGCCATTTTTTATTTTTTTCCTCTTATTGAACAATAAATAGCTTGTACTTAAATTATGGGCCTTATGTTTTTCATATAATGTCGGTATATTTATCTGTGTTACAATAATTATTATTATTACTATTAATAAATATTATGGTCACTATGTTTATTGGCAAATTTAACTTTTTCCATTTGGAAGGACATATTTTTGTATATCAGTCAAATTTATCATATTCGATTAGTTTGTCATAATATATTTTTGTCACTACAATATATACATTTACTATCATTAAAATTTCTTTATTGCTGTTTAACAACAAAGTCCTTTACTGTTACCACGAGTTGTGAATATATATATATATATATATATATATACAGTGTGTTTCACTTAAAGTTGATATTATATTTTTTGATATATGGTCTTTTACAGGGTGTTCAGAAAATAGGTGCAAACTTCGAAAAATTTCACTCGTTGCAGTGGAAATATTTTCAAGGTATCTTTTCATAATTTTATTAACCGAAGGTATATTCATGCAGTTTCATTGATTTCACTTATACAGGGTGCTCACAATAAGATATATTTTTTTATTATACTAGAAATGAAATTTAAACATTACTGTTTTCTATTAGTCCACCATCATTTGGTATGCACTCTTCAAATTCGTCTCCTCTTATTTTTAATAACTCTCCTCAACCGATGTGGTGTTATTTGTCGACATGCTTGTCTAATTCTATTACATAAATCTTCTCTGTTCTAGGGCCTTGTTTTATACAATTTCCCATAAAAAGAAATCAAGAGGCGTCAAGTTTGGAGCTCTTGATGGCCACTCAACTAACGGATTGTTGCGACCTGTCCACTTTCTCGGGAAATTCTCATTCAATCAACGACGTATTATTACCGCATTATGCTCCATCTAGTTGAAGGTAGAGGTTCTGTCTTACATGAAAAGGAAGTGGATGTACTGAATCCCAGAAATCATTATTTAAAAAATTCAAAAAAAAAACTGTATAGATGAACGTTAAAAAAGGAAGGCTCAATTATTCCATCGCAAAAAATCCCACAAAAAACATCATTTTTTTAAATTAATTATGTAATAATAACACTACATCAGTTGAGGAGACTTATTAGAAATAAGATGAGACGAATTAAATATGAAATGAATTATGGTGGCCTAATAGAAAAACAGTAATATTTAAATATTATTTCGTTGCGAAACTCGTTTCTGGTATAATAAAAGAAATATATAATTTGGCTGTCTTATGGTGAGCGTCCTGTACGAGTGAAATCAATTAAACTGCATGGATTGATTAATAAAATTATGGAAAAATACCTTCAAAATATTTTCCACTGTTAATACAGGAAACTCTGCAATGAGTGAAATTTTTCGAAGTTTGCACCTATTCTTGCACCTTCAATGAAACATTGTTATAACTTTTCCGTTTCTTTCTTAAAAAATGTGTTGTTTAAATTTTGAGGGTCTTTTCTTACCGATAGTAGGCTGTAGAAAAGAGCACGTCAAAAAATATATCGGAGTACTTTCACATAAAAAAAAAAATTTTGGAAATCGGCCAACGCCATCCTAAATACGGAGGTGCTCCCACTTTAAGTGAAACACACTGTATGTGTGTATATATATTTATATATATATATAAAATAATTAATTTTGGGGAGGGGAATTCCTGAACGGGTGCAATAAACGATATTATACATATAATGTATTTATTAAATAATTGGCAGTATGTGATACCATAATTACCGACTTAATCAAAATTACATATATATAACATACAATCTATCCCTATTCTTATTCACATTCAAAATAGTAATCTCGACAATTTTCAAGAAAACTTTTACTATTTTCAATCTTAAAATGACAATCGAATTAACAAAAAAATATATATTAATTCATAATCAGTCAAACCGATATCCGTTTTTGGGAAAAATTACAGAAGCTTTGGTGTTATCAAGATACAGTAAAATTTTAAATGATAAAACTACTAGACGGTAAAATTAACCTTTGGCTAAGAAACTGATTGAAATTAATAAATGTGCACGAGAACAACAAAACTGAAAGGAAAATAGATGCAGATGAAATAAAATTTTACAAACAAAACTGTTTTAAAATTCCTAACACAATAGCACTACAAAAATAGACTATAACATAATGTAATAATAACAACATAATTAATATAATTGTTAATAAAGTTAAACTTATAACAAAAAAAAGTAAAATACAAATTATAAGCACAAAATATCACCAATTAAACTTACACAAAGTAAAGATAAAATGTGACGCTTTATAAAATGACACATTTCACCGTACACTCCGTATATAAACAGAGAAACGTTGATACGTAAGGTGCAATTGGAGAGTCTCCAGTACAAGCATTTCAGGTACATGTCATCACTACATCATCTAAATTATCTAATAATTACATTAATTAGGTAATGACATGTACTTCATTTATTAAAAAAGTGGCAGTAAATATACTTGCACTCGATTATTGGTACAAAAAACTATCGTATCAAAGTAACCTAACTATACTGCTACCATTTAAAACGTTCAGTGGAAATAATATTCAGTATAATTAATTTACCTAAATTTCAGTTTCCTAATTTTACTACTCTATTTACAAAAGTTGTACTAAAATTTTCAGTTACGTTTACGGTTTTTATTTACACTAGATATTGATGTTTCTTTTTTTTATAAATAATAATTTACAATATATTCCTTTTTATACAAAATGAATAAATTAAATGCTTATCCAATAATTTAGAAGCAAGATGAGATGAGTTATTAAAGGCAGTGATAGTATTGAATACAATTGTACATATCTCAGGACAATAACGCAAATAAATTATGCCAATTAAATTAAATTTTTTCGTATGAACATACGATTTGAACACAAAATTGCAGTCGTTGTTATGCTGCTTGCGGTTTCCCTAAACCCCAAACATGCCATTTATTCATTTTAACAGTTCACTTTTAACGTTGTATTTTTTCAGACCAAATTATCCGACCGGAAACTATTACTCTGCTATTTACATTTCAAACCACCTGCTAAAAATTACTTTAATGTTTGGCTACATTTTTTTCAAGAAGGCATAATGTTCATAAATTTTAGAGGTGGCCATCTATTCATTGAAAATTATAAAACATTTTATTCAAATAGACATTAATTTTTAACTGCAGTACAAAAGTTGTTTGCAAAACAATGAAAAAAAAAAAAAACATTTTATAATACAACAAACACAACACTACTTGACTCGTATAAAAATAAAGATGCAAACAAAACGTATCGATGCATTTGCCGGATATCATAAGCAAGTGTATTTATTATTGCTCCCTCAAAGCATCTATTGTCATTTTCCAAAATCATTGAGAATGTAGAAATTTTAAAAAATGACACATTTGCTCTATTTGCAACACCTACTAAGTCTAAAGTGGCAATAGGGCCAATAATTACACAAAATAATTGAAAATTAACTGTCAACACGAATATAAATAGAGAACATATTTATCAATTATTTAAAAAAAATTATGAACTTTTGGTCTGCGTGAATAGTATACAACTTTAAAAGTAATAAGGATACGAGCTACTACAAATTCGCTTTGTGACATCTAAACTGCCATAATAATAGTTCAAATAGTGTCAATTTTTCCAGCTGTAGTCGTGTGACCTACCCCATCCATCACCAACAACGTGATGAATATCATTCTGGTGGTCCTTGTTCCAATCCCAATCTTTACCTTTCGGCTTGAACTTGGGTTCATGTCTGTCATTTTTCGACCAAGAATCGTCCCTCCAATGTTCTCGGTAATAAAATTTCTTCTTAAAATGCGTATCGGGCTTCTTCTTCTCTTCCGGATATCGTTGATATTTTAGCAAAGCGGGATTCAATCGTGTAGGACTCTTTTCAACAGGAACTGGCTCTGGACTGAAATTAATAGAGAGACTATTTGACTGAGGAGATGTCGGTGAAGGAGTTCTGGGAGGTCCCGACTCGTCCGGATGTTCTAAGCCAGTTGGAGACTCTAAGTATGTTTTATTTGTTGGCATTTTAAAGAGTGTTGGCTTAGGATTAGGGTTTAGTTTTATGGTTTGTTTTGGTGGGACAACATTGATAGAAGTGGGATGTAAGTCTCCATGTCCATGGCCTATACCTGAATCTGGAGAGGTGTTGCAACTGTCATTGCCTTCTGTGGACCTGCGCCTTTTGTCAAGTTCAGTTGATGCAAATGCTACGAGTCTATCAAAACCAGAAGAGATCCTATCCTGCCATTTTGACTCTTCACCTTCTTCTTCCACCACATCTACATCTAAGAAAAAAAAAAAAAAGGTTTGTGTAGATTTTCATTACACTTAAATTTTTTTCTATTCAAATTTTACAGTTTCATAATTAGTTTTCTAATATATTTAGATATTACACACAGGATGTTTAAAAATAAAGTTAATGCACGTACAAAAGACTTATAACTTGAAAGCCACTGTCTATTAAAAAAAAAAACAATAATGCACAGCTCGCTTGAAATGCATGGAGAAATGGAAAACTCTCTATATATATATGAGAAAAAGTTATTGAACGAAATGTGTGCCACCACCAAAAATGAAAAAAAAAAAAAAAAAAATGGAAAAAACAGCTTGGCAAAATTAATATAAAATTGCGCTAAAGCTACTTACCACCTCTTTTAATCAGCTTCTAAATCTAGTATGGTAGGGTATTATGCATGCGCTATATTTTGCACGTGAGATTTGTGTGCATGCCTGAATGTGGTGCCTCCTATTCAACGCAAACAAACTACAGTAAATATAGGAAATTTCAACACCAATTACCATTATAACACGTAAAACTTTCATTAGCAATATCAAGTGGTACACAATTGTTTTTTGTTAGTCATGGTTAAAGACAAATTTGCCAGTTCATTATAACCACTACATAGGATCAATAAATTTCCTTAAAAATACATTTTAATGTCTAATAAGAGTTAAACAGTGGCGGCTCTGGACTTCCATACCAGGAAGGGCGGAAAAATTCAAGTATAAAGTATAGAAAAAAAAAGTCAAATATAATTGATTAGTTTTATTTTAAATACTATTGAAATATAGTTAAAATATTCTCAACATTATTTTTTATAGTTTAGTACTAGTTTGTACCACTCTTATTTTCATTTATACTTCAAACCGTAAAGGATGAGGGATGAATAAATATATAAATTTCGGAAAATTTACATGACATGAAAAATACGAACAGATATGGATTGGAAATCGTTACTACCTGTTTGTACCACTTTTATTTTCATTTATACCTCAAACCCTATGGGATGAGGGTATCTAAATACATAAATTTCGCGAAATTATCTTTGAGGTACAAACGAAAATAAAAGTGGTACAAACAGGTACTAAAGGGGTACAATCAATTGTATTAAAGAAAAATTTGATTAAAGTTCGATGTTAACTTCACATAGCTAAACAAATAACGTTCAATAAGAAAGAAAGGCGGTGAATAATTATTATTTGATTACGCGTGGCCTAAACAGAACTCAAACTGCATAGCACATATATGCACTATTCCCACTCCGTCTTTCATTGCTGTGCGACGGTAACCATGACCACCACTCTAAACACTACAGATTTAGAGCGAGCTTTAATGTGTTGCATAAGATTTATTTATCTAATTATCTAGATAATAATATTCTAAACTAAATTTTAAATAAAATTTTTTACTATAATTTTTAAAGGGGCGCCTCAGAGGCCCTCGCACCAGCCGCCACTGGAGTTATATGTTGAAAAATGCCATATATTTTTATACATCAATATAATTTCTGTTTTTTCCAACTCATATCAACAAATGATTTTGTGCTTTTATTTTAAGTGATAAATATTTGGAAACAAACCACCTGTTGTTTAGAAACACCCCAATGTATGGGAAACTACACTAAAGGCAAAGTTTTAATCGTGCATAATGTAATATAGTGTCAGCTACAAAGTGTGTGAAAATATTACTTTCCATATTAACCGAAGTTACACTAACTTTTTATTGAATAATAAAAATATAATTTACACTAACACAAACTTCAACAATAATACTAAAATATATCTAATAAATATACTTTCTCCCCACATACATATATATTTACATAAATATATATATACAGGGTATCCCGAAATTAATGGGACACAGAGCAAGGGTAAATTCCTTACATCAAAATAATGTGATTAAGCCAAACTTACCTTGGTCCATTTGTGGCTAATAAAAAAAGTTACAGGGCGTTAAAGTTGAAATTTTGAATTCGAAATTCTTAAAATTCTTAGAGTTTTCAAAGGATTCTTTTGAAAATTTAGATTAGGGGATTTTCTGGGACGAGAAAAACGAATCCGTACTTAATTTTGCTGTAGACGCTAGAGGGCGCTACGAAATGTACTCTTGATTGATAAAAACTGGTTATAACTTTTTTATCAGTGTGTGTACAAAAGTTTTAATAGAAAAATATTGTTCTTCTATCTATTTTTCACAAATAAGGGGTACTTGTTTTATGTCGATAAATTTAACCGTTTTTGATATATTTCTTGTTTTTCTATTGGATAAAATAAAATAAGTTTGTAGTTACGTAAAAAACTAAAGATTATTTTTAATAATAATTTAATTACATTGAGGTGGCTACATTAAATGTTTATAATTATAAAATATTCCTTTCACTTTTTTCTTTTTTTCGTTATTTAACATTTTTTGATGAAAAAGATTAGATTTTTACGGAAAAAAAAAACATTTTCAATTTAAAACAATCAGTAAAAGATACAACATTTATCCTGTAATCAATTAGCAGAAATGACACTTCAGTAGTTCAGTAGTTTTAATAAATTATGTATTTTATTTTATTGCATCCAATAGAAAAACAAGAAATAAATCAAAAACGGTTAAATTTATCAACATAAAACAAGTATCCCTTATTTGTGAAAAATAGAAAGGAGAACAATAGTTTTCTATTAAAACTTCCGTACACACACTGATAAAAAGTTATAACCAGTTTTTATCAACCAAGAGTACATTTCGTAGCGCCCTCATCCGTCTACAGCAAAATTAAGTACAGATTCGTTTTTCTCGTCCCAGAAATCTAAATTTTCAAAAGAATCCTTTGAAAACTTTCTAAGAATTTTGAATTCAAAATTTCAACTTTAACGCCCTGTAACTTTTTTATTAGCCACAAATGGACCAAGGTAAGTTTGGCTTAATCGCATTATTTTGATGTAAGGAATCTACCCCTTTGCTCTGTGTCCCATTAATTTCGGGACACCCTGTATATTATATATATATATATATATTNNATATATAATATTAAGATTTCTATTATCTTAAAATATAACAAGGTTGGTCAGGCCAAATTAGGGCAAAGTTGTGGAATTTTATGAAGTTTTTTAATCAATAATGGAAAAGGTGCATTTTTAAACTCAGACAATATTTGGGAACAGAGTAAATTTTTGTTATTATAACTATATATTTGAATGTCTCACAAAAAAATGTCCAACAATGTCTGACTTTAAAATGTCTAGCTCTTTTCATTTTCGATTAAAAGGTAAAAGTGAAAAACTATACTTTATTGTCAGTTTTCCGTTAACTTCAAATCGAAAAAATATCTCTTGTATCCCTTAACAGAACTAGGTGATGAGGTTCGAAAAACAGACACCCGGTACATCAGGATGATGTTAACCAAAAAGAGAAGTTTTGAACATCAAAAAAACTAACATTTAAAAAAAAACAAAACAAACTTTTACTGTTGGATGGAACTGCCACCTTCTGTAATAAAGTAAACCCCACAACTTGCCTTATCCATTCCTATCAAATTTATTATCAGTCATATGTTATAAATTAGAAAATTTTGTAGAAGACAGGTTTAAGGGGTATATTGGCAAATTTGGTGGAAATTAAAAATATTCTGTTAAATAAACAATATTAAAGTACTGAAAAAAATCTAAATATTCTTAGAGACACTGCGAAAAATAGTATGCGTATTAGGACGATAATTTTCCTTTTTTATCCATAACATAGGTAACAGCTAACAACAAATTTTACAAAATTTCTAACTAAACAATAGAATTCAATAAATTTTAATGTATTTAAAAAAGATGGTAAAACCAAGCTGCAGTGTTCAAGCATAAAGTTAATGTGAATTATAAGCTAAATATGCGTGTAGTATTTTTTTGATAAACATTAAGTTAAGTGGTAGTTTTTATAATAAGCATTAAGCTAAATAGGAAATGGCAAAACAGCACCAAAAAAATTGAATTTACTTTATACATAAAAAAGATTAATATAAAATAATTAAGCATATTATAGAAAAAATTAGAAGGGAAGTTAACACCACAGCCATTCTTTTTTTCCCAATTCTCCGCCTAATAAAAAAATATTCCATCACCAACATTTATGTTTAAAAATAGGGAGGGTGTTCTAAAAAAATGTTAAATAATATAAGAGCATACAGACAAAAATTATAAAATTCACCATCGTTGCTGGATCATGAAGAAGACAAAGCGAAAATCACATGCACTTTGGTTTAGATCACAGCTATACAGATTTATATTACAACTACTTATTTTTGGATTATTCTGTGACCTTATAATTGTACAGCGAGAATATGTTCTATGAATAATTTTTTGCCTTATACAGGCCGTTACAAATTCGCTTCTCACTACAGGAATCTCGAAAACGGTAAGTGTTACAAAGTAGCTTAAATGGGGGAAAAGTAATCAGGGCACCAACATTATGCCTCTAAAAAATCAAGGCTAACGTGATTAGTTTTCGAAATATATTTGAAAAAAAACGAAATTTTAGAAATCCGTTTTTGTTTCATTTCAGCCTTGTTTGAGGTGATATTGAAAAAAGAAGAACACTTTCATGTTAGCCTTGATTTTTTAGAGGCATAATGTCGGGTCCCCATTTAAGCTACTTCGTACCTCTTACCGTTTCCGAGATCCCTGTAGTGAGAAGCGAATTTGTAACAGCCTGTATATGTGACGATATCTATTTATATTTTAGCGATGATGTCAGATACTCCACTGAACAATAAATACACTGACACTGAAGACAAAAGAATTGGTTTCTAAGAGGGATCAGTTAGTAAAATTTTAATAAAGATAAGCAAACGGTTGGATATAATAGATCCATGAATTCCTTGATTCCAGATAATCGAAAATTAAATTATCGCAGCCTATTTAAAAACAATTATTAAAATTTAATATTAAACAAAAATTAACTAAAAAATTAAGGGCAGTTTCTCTAATTATTATAGATTTTGAAACATTAGGTAATTAATTTTATCCAAAGATTCCATCATACGCATACTAAATAACTTTTGACATATGTACATATTAGATAGGTATCTATAAATTTAACAAGCATTTATTTTTTTCAATTTTAAATTTTGAATCTGTTCTTGGAAATTTCTTTACAAATTTAATTTTCAGAGGCTTAATGTTTTCCTTATTAGTGTTTTGAGGCACATGATCAACCGGTTTTTGTTTACTTTCTGAGGAAAGGCCGTTAACACTTGCACGATTTAACAATTTTTTAAAATTCCCTTTAATTTTTTCTACAAAATCAGAACCGGGCTTTACAGAATTAACAATCCCACTAAAATTCCCATTAGCTTTTAGCTGTACCAAAGACATTTCAACAATTTCTCGGGGAATGATTTTCCTTCGTCTCCGCATAGCACAGCCGTTTGTCTTTGAACCTAAAAATTTTTCATATGGCTTGATTTATACTTTCCTCCAAAGGTCCTTAACGAGATAGTTATTGAGATAGTCACAGTAATTAGTAGATTAGTAAAATAGCAAAATGAAACAAAAATAAGCACAGATAAGCTACCAACAGATTTACAAACGTGCAATTTGGTGCATTCGAAAGATATCTTACCTTCTTCATTGCACTTTCTCGGTCTCGACGTTTCTTGCACTTCGTCAACTAAAGGCGTAGATGTGTTTGAGTGAGGTTCTGGCGAGATGTTGTTGGTAAAGTTTGTTCTATGTCCATCGGCAAGATACGGCGTCGACGTTCCTTTTATATTAGTACGAATTGCTCCATGGATAATTGGCGACTCTCTCTTATAAATCCCTTCACTACCCTCCGCTTTGATAGCATTGCTTTGATCCTGGTAAGAAGATATATTTGGTAACATAGTTTGCTGAAGATATGCCTGTCTCCTTTCGTACATCTCAACTTCCTCTTTTATTGGTGGAGCTAAAACTCGTGCTTGTAAACTCACTGCCAATCCTTCGGGCACAAAACTATTCCTCGTTTCATTTTCTAAAGGAGCAGGTGGCTTTACATCACTAAAATATGATTCATGATACGGCTTTATGTCAGCCCGCGGTAACGGAGTGTACAACTCATTTGTGGAATAGTTAGAGTTCACTGAAGCAGCTCTCGACTGTGTAGGATATAGAACAGTGGTCCTCGGTGAATACTGTTGTCTAGGACTCAACTGTGAAGGCGTAGTGTACTGATGTACATTGTGAGAAGTAACTTTCACGTGGGAATGCATGTAGGCAAGTCCTTCTAGACCTTCTGCGGAAGAAGGTCTAGAAATGGGACTGTAAACTGTTTGCCTCATAGGTTCTACATCTTTAGGTGTTTGAGGTGTTTCGGGATTAGGCACTTTTACGTTGACTCTCTCTGGACGGGGAGGTAGATTAGCATTAACCACTGATCTGGAAGTCAGAGTCGCTGTACCTTGTATATCACTCATGTCAACAGCTGCATTTATTATGGATTGATTTGAAATTTCCAGAGTCCTTTCTATTTCTCCTGACATCAAATCACCTAAAAAAAATTCTCACAGTACAACCAGAACGTCAATGCGACATACATTAGCTATGATGTAATGGTAAAAATTAGCATTATATAAAACCAAACACAATATCTCAATAATTAAAAAAAAAAAAACAACACTAGGTACCAGGTACCATTTATACAGAATATATAGAACAATTTTAAAATTCTCGTGCCATTCTATAAATCAAACTCTGTTTATATGTTGTGCCAGTCCAATTACTCCTCTTCTTCATTTTCTTCCTCCTCATTTCAGAGGTCTGCTATTTCTTTGCGAATTTAATCGCATATAGAATAACGGTGACCATTATCACAGTAAAATAAAACAATTAGTCAAATCATGAATAATAATAATAATAATAGCCGATGAATTCGCTAATAACATATTTAATTACTGATGCATTTTCCATTTTCATTTGAAACAAAGCAACTACTACACCTACTTTGCATGTGAAGGTGCAAAGGAACAATTTCTCTAAGAAATTTTAATATCCCGCCGCACTCACAGATGCACAAAACAGGGAAGTATCAACTCCTTTTTAATAGCGAGCACATCCTTATTGATTTCTATATACTCGTGGTACTATTATACTGTGGGACATTATTTCTTCTTTAATCATTAACGAGTACAAGGAAGATCTTTCCAAAATCCATTTAATTCATGTTAATTTGTCTCGAGTACGTACTCTGAAAGTCGATGTTATTAATTATTCATCCGATGACAATGAAATGGTGGTAGAACACATATTTTACTTTTACTTTTTTTACTGGCCAAGATCCTAAATTGTATGAAGACAATTATGAAAAAATTAATTTAAAGAACAGACGTAAAACCCCCAGTTAGTATGACTATTTAATGCAAAACTTTCAGATTGGTTTTATTGATATTTGAAAAAAACCATAGGTACTTTAACTAGTCCCATAAATAGTCACCGATCTTTGGGAGATAAAAAACAAAAAGCTTACCTATTGTTCTTGTAGCAACTATCCCATCGGAAGGGTTGTACGGAAGTTGCTGGTGTGCCAACTTTTCTTGAGACAAATGCCGCCGTAGTGCAAGCTTAGCTGGTGAAACCTGTGTGTAATCTGGTTGTTCTGGATTCAACGACTTCTGGATTTGGACCTGAGGGGACACCTTGGGTATCTCTTCTCGATAACATTCCATCATGCTGGCTAAACCTTCCTGGTGTGGAAAATGATGGTTTTCTTCATTCTGTCGCACTACAGTCTCACAACGAGAAGTGTATTTACTTGCCTGAACAACGAATTTACGTTGTTTCTCTTCCTGTTTTGGTGTAACGAAATTATTTTGATAATTATAGCTATGAGATCCATAACTTGTGCTATGATGTTGCTGAACAGTGACCACGTTTGTGGATTGGGGATTATGGGAGGGGTAGTGGTGTAGAGTAGAAGGTTGAATATTGGGTTGAGACTGTTTAGATCTATTTTGCTGATCCTCATTTAAAACTGAAGTAATGATACTCTTCAAACGGTCCTCAAAATTTGTTAGTCGCGGAGGCTCCTGGCTTTTGGAAATGTTACCGTTAGTGGTTACGTTCGGTGTACTAACAGTTGAGTAATTGTTATGTGACGTCTTCTGCCTTTTGGTCACGGGAAGTGGTGCCGGCATATTGTTTCTAATTAAGCTACGTGTACCGTTTTGAATTGTCTTATTTGAATTTCCTGGCAACTGGGGCATCTTGCTAGAAATTGCGGAGAGTTTACTAGCCTCAATTTTTCTTCCAGTTTCAAGAATCTTCTGTGCTAATATTTCAGGATTTTGTTCTTCGATCTTAGCAATATCTGGCACATCAGGCCAATCTTGAGATCTAGCTCTATACTCCCTGGCCTTCCTAGAAACCTTCACGGGTTGCTGTTGCTGCCTAGCAGCTAACACCTGGGCTTGCTTACGTTCTTCACTAGTTTTCTGTAAGTTAACTATATCACCTTCCAACTTTGAAACCTCATTCTGTAACTTCTTTCTATGGGCAAGTGTAGAAGATATTTCCCTTAAAATATATTCTTGGGCAACACTAGGAGATAAATCATGGCTTGTCGCCGAACCCATATACTTCTCACACACTTCGGCTTGCCTTTGAAGAATATGATTATTTTGCTCTGCCTCTAAATTAGCAACTTGTCCTTGTAATTTGCTCGCTTTTGCTTGCAACTCTTTGTGTCGACAAACTATTTCTTTAGCTTTTGCTAGCAAATCTACGGGAGAGGATGCATTGATTCCCAATTCACTCATTCTTGCTTTAAGCAGAGCCACACTATCGTCGATGAGCACTTTGATTTGTTTTTCTAATTGCGCAGCACGGCTTTTAAGTTTTTTGTTTCTCTCCTTTTCTTCTTCGATTTGACTCTCCACTGTGCTTTTGTATAAAGGATTCTTCATTTGGTGTAGCATCTGCATATAGTGACCTTTAAACATATCTAGAAGAACTTGTAACCCATATGGTGTTTCTGATGGTTCTTCTGGTATATCCAATTCATTGTGAATGATTATTTCTGAACTTAAAGCAGTTAGTTGTTGATCTACACAACCGGGCGCTGGCGGGAGTTTCTTTCCGATTGCTTGAGGTGATGTACTAAGCAATGTTTCATTGTGCAGCAAGTCCAAGCCATTGATTTTAATTTGCTTCTTGGGCTTAGCTTTCTTTACTCTACCCCTTCTCGGTTTTGCTGGGGCTTTCTGTATCTGTTGCTTTTCTTGCTGAATAGAATTCTTCCCTCCTCTGCATACCTTCCTTCTTAATTTCTTTGGTTGTCTCTTGACCTAAGAAAAAATTTTAATGAGAACAATTTTCAAAATATTAGATTGCCTGCACAAAATAGGTAAGCACAAATTTTTATTTCTTTTTTTTTTTCACAGAAATTTATTTAAGATAAAATTAAAAAAATTATAGAATCACTAAATTACATACATTTACTATTTAGAAAGACTATTACTAATTTAAAACTTTTTTGTTAGAAGAAGCTAAACGATTTCTTGTTTAGCTTCTTTTATACGAGTATGAATATTTAGTGCAGAATCGGTATTTTCCACTTTCAAACATGCAAATAGTATAAAGAGTGCACTACAGACAAACTCCCACCTTGGAAATTGAAGAATCCTCCTCAGACTGACTACTTTTTTCCTTGGAGCAATAATCTGACCAAGCCTTGCGAGTTGTAGGTCCATAATTACTATCTTGATCATCGAAATCAGATTCTGACGTAGAATCTGGTGCCAATTGTTTAGAAAGGTCCCTCTTAGCTCTGTCTCTTGCACTCCTAGAATTAGTATTTTCATCCTCTCCATGCTATAATACAGAATATATAAACACTCGATATTGATTAATTTGTACATTAACCCTTACCTTTAACTGCGGTTTTTTCAACCGCTGAAAATACCTTTCTAATTTTGTGCGATCAATGATGTGTAAATAATAAGAAACCGGTTTGCCAGTCCACGAGACAGATCCTCGTAGAGGAGACATCTCTGATACATGCATAATAGTTCCAATATCACTCAAATTTCTGTCGGTAATCCTAAAGTTTAACGGACAAAAACTTTTAGATGAAACTATCCTCGCACCATCCTTTAAATCTGCAAATCTCTCTTTTAGTTGATGGTCTACTGCTGGGCCAAAAGCAAAATTATTAACAAAAACGATGGTGGCCTGATTGATTTTCTCCCTGTGTTCTTCAGTTAAAAAATCTCCTTTCAACAACTTATACTCGCCATACTTCTTACCATACCATTGCATCCAAGTACGGAAGTTCTTGTTCATGCTCTCAGCATATCTACTTGGTACTTCTGCTCTTTCAATTCCAAGACATATCTTACAAGGAGTTGCAGCTGCCATCTGCAAAACAACCTGTCCAACTCCAGATCCCAGATCAATAAATACGTCATCTTTTGTAATCTCTATCTGGTCGATCATTTGACAAACTAAATCATAAGAAGTTTCTCCGTAAACTTCAGGAGAAAAAGGTTCATACTGATTAAGTTTTTCAGGATCAGTAACAGCAGCATTATAAGTTTGTTGCAAAATATGACGCAATAAACCTCTAGAAGGATACTTGTTCAACCTGTGAGCTGGAAGTGACGTACCTTTTTCCTAAATATGTACTATGTTTAAATACCGATTATTACTTCATGACAATGCTACTTACCAGTGCTACCACACTATCAATGGCTCTGTTGAACCTATCACATAATGATTTCATACTCTCATAGCTTCTAGTGTCGTAGTCACAAAGTATGTTGTTTTCCAATGGCAGTTTTAATTCAGGTAAATCTTCACAGACCCATCTAGACAAAAACATTATTTTTTTTCAATATGTACTGTACAATCACATAAATAATTAAAATAATGTTTTTCACAACAGTCTAACTAGAACAGCAATATATTATCTGCGAACAATTATTGTATCTCAGAAGAAATTAGAAACAAATTTTATGGACATTATTTATTGTCTATATAAAATATTAAATTACATATTATAAATTCAAATGTATTAAAATTTTTTAAAAACTTCCCAAATATTTATTTTTTACTAATGTTAGTTTCATAATTCCTCATAAGAACAAATACTGTTCAGTTATGTGGGTCATACCAGAATGAGTGGACATTAAGGACGGGATTTTGTACAAAAAATATCGCCCAGCGTGAGTCACGAAACGGTACCCCGGCAAGTGCTGCTCTAGCCCTAGCGGCCAACGCTTCAAGGTGTGTTGTTTAATAATTTTCGCTGGGCGATATTTTAACAGGCCTCGCGCCCGATTGTTCAGAAACGGCTCCAATTTGTGTACATACAGTCATAAGGAAAGAGAGTAAAGATTTTATTAATCATTAATAGATTATCGAGGACAATAATAATTTTTTTATTAAGTAGGCAATAATTTTTAGTTAACAAGCTTAAACAATCTTAGAATTACCATTCCTTTATTATAAAAGCAGATATAATTTTTAAAATTCCATGTAGTTTCCTCTTCAAAAGCTTAAAAAACGTATAACAGGATAACCTGAATAGTCAACAGTCTAATGTTTATATTTTCACGTTAACAATCCGATACGGAAATTACCTGCTATTTTCAGTAAAAATGATTAACTTGAATTATTTTTTTACTTTGGTGAGTCGTATTAATTTAAAAAACACTGCCTAATTACTAAAATATATAGAAACTTGCTACTAATTACGTTTGGAGAATAATATGTATAGTAGGGTGGTCCAAAAAAAAAAAAACGATTTTTTTTCGTGTCTCTTGTGAAAATATGTTAGTTTATCATGTTTTAAGAGCCCCCTCAAAAAATCAGCTCAAAAAATTTTTTTAAAGGTCGCTCAAGTTTTTAAAAATTTCCAAAATCCTCAAAAATTGAATTTTTTTTTGTTTAATTTTTTTCTCGTTATTTTATCATTTTCTAGGTTGAAAAAAATCTCGATTCTGAAAATTTCAAATCGATATTTTAATTTCTAAAGGTCACTCATAATTATTTTAATTTTCAGAGTTGAGCGACCACTAAAAAATAAAAAATTTTAAAAAAATTAAAAAATTATAAATATTTGATACTCACAGTGCAGTAGTAAATTTTGCCTCGAGACATTTATTAAGTGTCTCATAATTAATTTCTATTATTTTGTTGATCAAATTTAATGAAAAAAAATTGTTACTTCGTTGATATTTATTTTTTAGAGGTCGCTTGAAAACGTAGGTAGGTACCTATTATGAGTGACCTTTAGGAATTAAAATATCGATTTGAAATTTTCAGAATCGAGATTTTTTTTCAACCTAGATGATAAAATAACGGGGAAAAAAATTAGACAAAAATAATTCTAATTTTACTGACAATAAGTCGCACTATCGTCTTTAGTACTGTGAAGGTCATTTGTCTCGAAAGCTCTTTTTTTATTTTTAAGCAAAACAGAAGGGGATGCTATCTCCGTAAACAACAATCTGAAAAAATTTGTTAAAATAATACAGTTATAAAGGCTATACTGTATACTCTGCATCGGACCGTGAACGCAATTGACCATACCGATACTGTTTTTAAGAATATCATATTTATAACTGTATTATTTTAACATATTTTTTCAAATTGTTGTTTACAGTTATTTGCTACCTGTCAGTTTTTTCTTTTTTTAAAGAATGCCATATTTACGGAGATAGCACTCCCTTATGTTTCACTTAAAAATAAAAAAAGAAGACCTTTTGAGACAAATGACCTTTACAGTATTAAAGACAATAGTTCGACTTATCGTCAGTAAAAATTGGAATTTTTTTATCAGTTAACAAAGTCGCTACTCTAATAAAGCAAATAAAATGTAAAGACTGTGTAAATAGTTTAATGACAAATACAGTTTTCGTATAATTAATTTTTGTTAAAGATCGTGATGGTTTGACGTATCCACCCTCAAGGCGTCGTAGTAATATGCCAAGACACGGAAAAAATAATAAAATTAATAAAGACAGTACATTAGTACACCCAAGCTACAGAAAAATAAAGTTGTGTATGTATCATGTATTAAAAAAACTGTGAAAAAATGTGACCATATTTGAAAATTTGCATGAACAACATAATTTCCCTAACACTTGTAATCATTTAATAGAACTTGTAAGTTAATGTGAAAAGTATATTGATAAGAATAAATCATGAAGTTAAAATATTTAATTCAGTGAAATCTACTTGAATTCAAACTTGAAATATGAATATTTGTCATAAGATGCAACATAATGTTTAATATGTAAAAATATTATTTAATTCGGATCTGTTCAAAGCAGACGTGGTCGCATTACCTCGCACACTCCACTTCCCCGTAATTTGCATTTTCTGGTATTGATGCTTTGGGAATTTGGGATTGATACATAGAGTCTGGTATGATCTATAAGTTTTATAACATATTGGCAATACCGACAGTTAGGAATAAAATAAAAAAAGTTACCGTACTTAACTAATGAAAACGGCTCTTAATGTGGCCGACATGGCAAATATCTTTGAAGACATCTTAGAACAGCAAACAAACGAATATACGGTACATATATTTTTTTATTTAACGGGTACCTAAATTTAACCTAAGGTAAACAGACAAATATATTACTAACACAAAATTAATTAATTACATGGGATCCATTAATTACTAGCAGTTATTTTGTTTTTTTATTTATAGTTATTAAATACACGCATCCATCAAAAATACCAGACATTATAGTTGAATTTACTTTGTAACAAAACCTGGTCGAAGATTAACTGAATATACAATGTATAAATCGAAGGCTTTTGACCTTTAAAGAGTCTATGAACTATAAGATCATTTCATTATATTTTCACAACTTGTTTAAAATATAATTTCTTATATTTTTTTCATACCTTTAACTTTAACTTTACAGATAAATTGATTGTATGAAACGAATTCCAAAAAACACCTGAGTCAGTCTGTATAATTATTTTAACCAGTTCGTTAACTGTATTAGTGACACCTACATTTACATTAACTTTATAAAATGACAAGTATTTTGAAGTACCTAGTTTACATAAAATTTATCAATTAGATGTATCGTAATGAAACAAGTACATCTTTTTTTATGTAGAAATGGTCAAGGATTTCGATTTTCCAAAAACGAATTAAAGATTCTGAACCTTGGTTTATATAAAATAATTCCTCGTAATGAATGGTACCTCTGTATAAAATGTTATCAATTAATTTCGAAGCATTTTCGAGATATTGTAATAAAATTGTGTCTTAATGGCCCCCTTGAAAGGGGCATAGCGCCACAGGGGGGGCGGGGGCGTTAATGAAATGTTTTATTATTTACTATACCAAATGGTAGGTTACATGCAATCATTATGAAGATTAAATTAAAACATAAATTGAGTCTTCTGGTTGTAGCCAGTTTTTTTATACTTGTGTTGTGCACTGTTTAATATTTTATGTTTATTAATATTTATTTTAAAGGTTTTTATACATATACAAGTACTGAATTACATTATTGTTTATATTTTTTTAGTAAAAGAAAGTATTGTTCGTTATTTAACTTTCCCTACTTGGGACACATGTCGATATGAACTTTTTTGCTCAAAATTAATTCCTCTATCATCCGTGTTCGTTTGGCACACCGGAAATGAAACATCCTATATATACATATTAATTTAAACACTCGCCTAAATGAATACTCTAAAGGGTGTACACCGCAGCATCTCCGATGTTAGGACCAGAAAGTGAGATAATATATCGATTTGCAAGGACCGTGACCCTGTCTGAAAGCAAGACTAGGCAATCAATATTTCCAGCCAAGACGATGCAGTCTTTCAGCAAATCAATAAGCCTCCTAACTGGGACATTTACATGAGAATTTTCGTCACTTCAACTCTAGACAGCTATCAAACTATCTTTTATAATGTTTAAGTATTTTTCAGAGAGTGATATTTTCATGTTATTTAATTTTTTTACGATGGTCCTCATTTTTTTTTGACGCCACTGCAATATACTAATATAAAATAGTATACATAATGTGTTACTACCTATTGAAAATTTGCGGAATATTGCTAAAAGATCCTCCATTTGTCCGTACTACAAAAGTATTTTTGTAATATAATTATGAATACCTATACTTAATTTGAAACTAATTATAATTCATAAAGTTAACAGTACGTTCCAATTATTTTCGGCAATAATAAAACATCAATAATAGTACTTCCTGAACTGGGAAAATACATAGAACAAATTAGAGATTACAGTAATATTAATAAAACTCACCTAATGGTTTCCACAATTTCGATAGCCCCATCGTGTTTGTCCTAAACAAGGAAAATAATGTTAACAAAACAACCAAATATAATCGAAACACACACACATATATACAGGGTGACTCAGAACTTATCCAAAAAAAAAAAATTCTGGATGTACAGGGGACCCTTACAAATACAATTTTGTAAAGAAAAAATCACAAAGGGCAGTTCGAAAATGATTTAAAAATACACTTCTACATGGCACTGGAAACTGGTCCACTATAAAACCTGACCTCGCACAATGCGACCGGCATGACGGTGTGATAAAAACGGACAAAAACTTTCGCAAGGAAAGAAATATGTAAATAGAATTATATCGCACCTATTTTATATCAGCAAATTCAACTGCTTTTGCCTTTATTAATTAATAAAATTAATTTGTGTTTTTAAATAATAAAATCATTTGACATACCCGATGTTACAACAATTGTTCAAAATTTTATCCA